CCATTAAGAACTCTACTTAATTAAATTTTACATCCTAGTATAAATGAAAATTATCAATTATAAAAACTTAAAAGAAGTAATTTTGTTGAATTATGATAAATATTTTTTAATTGAGATTTTTAAGTATAAAAAAAACACTATGCCACTAGCTCAAAAATAAAATGTGTGGGGCACCATCTGTAATGAGATGTTATTAAAAATAACTTTTATATTATTAGTTATAAAAATAAAAGGTAAATAAAGCTTAATTTTGAGGATAGAGAAGAGTTTTTAAAAATATTGTAAATGCCAAATAACGAGTAAAACTTCCATTGTCCAATCCCATTAAGAAACATTACCCCCTCTATCTCCCCACCTGCCTCGAGTTCCGTATTCCGAAATTTAATGCCTCAATGTCCCTCATATACAAGTTACCACGCCAAATTTCGTTTCTTAATCTTGATATTAAGACCCCGTCTTGAGAGATTAAACGAAATACACTCCAACTCATACATACGTACTGTATAGTACAAACAGTACATTCCCGGGAATTTTTTCTCGGGGGGGGTTTTGACGTTTTTGGGTTCAGGGGTTTCGAAACGTCGAGATTTGATAAAAACCCGGAAGGTCAAATTTGACATAATTACAATACTTTCACGTGTTATAACACAGAGAAAGTAAAAATAGTTTATTTTATTAATTAAATAAAAGTCCGTGTAATTTTAGAGTTTTGCGCCGGTTATTTGTGGNAAGGAAAAATTTCGATTTAAATTAAAGGTAATTTATTTATATAATAATTGTGATTTTATTTTTCCTGAAATGAAAATAATTAAAGTATTTAATGCTTTTTATTCATAATATAAAGCAGAAAGTAAGGATTCTTAGAAGTTACTCCACTTATATTATCAGTACCTTTTTTTTTCTTATTATTCTTATGAACGATTCTGTTGGAGATTGCATTTTTTAGATAGCATTTTTAAGTGTTTACCATCGATAAATTAGTAAGTTGTAGCCATTAAAACTGAAAACACTATGAGAAGAAGCCGCTACAATCGTTTTAAAAAGTGTAAAGTATCTTTATTTTTAATAATTTAAAGTAAAAAAAGTTTATTTTATTAATTAAATAAAAGTCCGTGTAATTTTAGAGTTTTGCGCCGGTTATTTGTGGTTTAAAATACATAAACTGATAAAATCATTATCTGAATTATCGTAAATATCGATAAAATTTTCATAACTTGTAAAAATGACACGTCAAAATGTCATTTAATTATTAACTTCGCACTATAACTCGAGGGAAGCGTATCCATGTATTGTATAGAGAAGGGTGAAGTCCATAAAAGTTATAAATATATAATCTTATTTATACTTTATTCCATTTACGCTTAGTAATATGTAGGTAATTAGATATTAATACTTATTCACTTCTCTATAATTATAATGTAAAATGAGAGATTACCTCTTCTCCCACTTCATATTTGGGTTGCTGAGAGAGGGTAGATGAAGCGATAGAAATTGTAGATCTCTCTTTAAATTTAATAACTTAAGGGTAGGAAGAAAATCAAGGAGAGTATAAAAGAATAAATGATGATAAATATGAATTATATTTATACCAAAAGACGAATGAAATTAGGTGGAGGATACAGTATCAAATTAACATAATTTTATATGAAAATAGATTTAATTGGAAAGTGTATGTAATTGAAATTACATTGTCTAACGATTACTAATTTGCCACAGCTGATAATTTCAACAGAAACGTAAATGATAATTACGTTTTTTTTTGTATATTTAATTGCTATTTCGCTCATTTTTTTTTCTTCGTAAACGGTCATTTTATTTTGGAAAAATCACTTCATTTTAATCCCATTACAGAATTCTCTGCGTTTTAATAAGGGAATCGTGTTTTAACGTTTAACAGAACATTAACAGGTGTTCACTTGTTAATACTCATACGTTAAAGTACAGCCTGCTAACGTTATATTATTGTCTCATAATATTTTAAAACNGCCTCAGAGCAAAATTTTAGTTACACCACTGCGTATACAGTATTTGTTTCTCCTAATACTAAGAGTAACTAATGAATATGTAAGAAGTAACAAATTGAAATTAAAGCATTAAACTAGCTTGTTTACACTATAAATTACTTACTTTTTTTGATTTTATTTTCAATTTTATCGCCTATTCTTTGCAAGTATAAATTGGGTGATTAAAAAGAGAGACGAGTGTATTCAAATATACAATAAATAACTCACGGTTTCAAAATTTAATGGATTTTTATAGCAGTATCGTTTAAAAACATGATAATTTCATATGAAATATAAAAACTTATCCTGTAAGAATGTTTTGTAATTTGAAAAATTAGGATATTCTTAATGTAAATGTGACACAAAAGATTACAGATCAAAATAAAGTTATTTTATTTCAATTTATTTTAAAAAATAGTATTGTTTCACAGAATACTGAGAATGGAATAACAAGCCAAGCTGACGATAAAAAATGAACTGTAAGATTTTAGAGAAAAGAAATGGTTATGGCGATGTTTATTTGCTGCTCTTCAATGATCTTTTCAGTTTATCTCTTTAGATAAGATGATCCTCTTTAGCCTTTTTTCCGTTTCAAATAAATCTTCAGTTTAAGTCATGCTGGACTTTCAGTAATTCGTTACTTTCAAGCATAAGCTATAAGAACGAATTTGAGTTTTTATAAATATTCTCTAGAGAAATATCTATATTACACGGAAAATATCCTATGCCTACTAAAATTTATTTGATAAATCTTTAAAGAATAAATTTTATATTAATCAAATTATGTTAAAACTCGTTTTCTTTTATTCATTTTCAATCGCAGAAACGTGCGGACACTTTTGCATTGTATGGACGTATGCTCCAACAAATCCTGCCAAAACCTGACTAACAAAGTAACTTTCTATCAACGAGCAATTATTTATTGTGACATCGACACAATTTTTAATAATTTTTTAAAATTTAAAATATATGCTCTCCACCTCAAATTAGTAGTGGCTTATCCCTATACTTTTCCTTTAGCAATCGGGTCGTGCCGGTCATCTAACTCCTCCTTTCAGGGGAAAATTTTTGAATTGAAATAACGTGATTTCCGGTTTACATTAGTAGTTCGTATAATCGGGGCCTCGTGCCATTAATTTTCCGTATCTGGTCTCGGTTTACATCTATCTTACTCCGTTCTCGAGATTAAGAAAAGATGAACGGACGGACGACAGTGGAAATTTATAAGTCTACAATTTTTTGAAATTGCAACCAAACAAACAAAACCATCAAATTCCACTTTGAAATAATGATTTCTCATATTTTTAAAGTGTGAAATATTTTGGAAGAAAGTCGAAAATTTTACTTGGCAATTAAAAGCACACGGTTTAATCTATTAATTCACAGTTTAAGCAAAGGCAACTCCTCCACAAGCTTTGTGTAGCACCAATCAAACAATCAATATGCCAGTACCTATAAAATTAAAATTCGAACTCTTATGTAACCCTTATCCTTTATCTCTCTCTCTCTCTCTCTTATATATATATAGGCCTATATATAATCTTTTATAGAGAAGGGACGGAAACAAAAAACATGACGTTTATATTCGTCCTCATATCGAGGGATTATTTTTTTATATCATTAAAACAGTTTTTATTTCCCAGTCCTTTCAAAACATTCCTTACTGATTTTGCCACACACAATTTCATTAAAAACCTTACAAAGAGACAAAATACTCTTAAGTGACCTTACCCTATATTTTTTTCATGCCTTTTAAGTCGAGTGTTTATCACTAAGGGACAGACAAATAGCTTAAAGAAAGTCCGTGCAGTCTCTATTATAGCTTAAAGAAGATTAGAGCCTTCGATACTACAATTCGTGAGACTGAAAGTGAATAGTATTTGAACAGATTTTATCTTAATGAAATTTTAATATTAACAAAATTAAGTTTTATGCAGCCTGTTCATGTTTCTTATTTTCGAATAAATAGAATTAAACTGTGCTGAGAAGAAAAAAAATACCAAATTAATCCTCAGTGCAATTTAATTGTTATAAATTAACCAGAAAATTTATCTTCTTTTTTACTTTTACATTTAATTTTGTTTTTGTTTGTTTTTTTAAATACTAAATGATAAAGATAATTGCTGCATTTCTAGCGAAAAAGATAGTTAATGGCCTGTACAGTGTTTTTCTTATCTTTTTTTGTGTGTTCGGAGTAGAACATAATTTTTGTTAGAGTGAAAGTTTTACTTTTTCTTAGAGTGGATGTTTGACAATAATTGAACATTAAATTTTTGTTAAATTTAATATCTAAATTGCATTTATTTTGTATAAAGACTTTTAATATAATTTTAAAGTGCTTTTGAGAATTTTTTCCCTATTTATCCATTCTTATATCGTTGAAAATTTTATTTTTTATTCTGTTAATATTATGAGCTTTCATTCTATTAACTTACTGTTTACAATGGAAACAAATGTATAGAATTTTAATTTTTTTATACAATTTGTTTCAAAGTTTTTAATCTCTTAATGTTTTAGAATTCGAGTTTTGGGCAAAATTGTATGCTATTTTTTTATTTTCAATTTATTTTATAACATTTTCTGTTATGAAATATGCTATTTATCAATAAAAATGAAATGTTTCGTATGGAAGATATAACTAAGGTTTATGTTTGACTGATATTGAAATAAATTCGAATTTATGTATCTTACCAAACTGCAAGATATAAGGATATTTATTTATTAAACTACATTTTTCGATTTAATAAAATATTTTGTTTCAATTTTTCTAACTTCAGCAAAAGAAAATTTATGTAGATGTATGCTCTTTCATAATCAAATTAACTATATTTTATTATATTATCAGATTAACAGAATATTTAAGACATTGTTCCTTCGTTAGATCATGGCTTCAATTAGTGAAACTATAAGAATAATTTTGTCTTTCTTTGTATTTTAATTAATCCATAAATTTCCCAAGGGTCAACAATAGTCATTCAGTTATTTTTCAATTTGCAGGTCTCTCTGTGCCATATACTTCAGATTGTTATCGAGAGAACTCGATGATTTGGCGACCGTCATGGCAGCCGGTATGGCAACCACGTGGCATTCCTTTACACTCTGACATGGACTCGCAAGAACTAGACGAAGAGGCTCAGAAGGTGGAAGCCTGGTTGGATGATCATCCTGCTTTCGTTCAGGATTATATGATACGCAAAGCCACCAGACAGATGATGGATACTTGGATGATAGCACACGCCATACCTCAAGGAATTTCATTGGAATCCGAATCCTTGCCTATAAGTCCTATATCCAGAACGGGTTCTGGAGGTGCCACTCCAGTTAGAAAGATATCTTCGCACGAATTCGATCGAGGCGGATTATTGAGACCCATGTTTACCACAGTGGATGGTACACCTACATTTTTAGGAAGTCATTCTTCTAGTAGCGAAAGTCTGGTCACTCCATGTATCAGACCCGCTCGAAAGAGCCGCCAAGAACTTCAATCGCTGAACGAGAAAGAGCTAATTTTTGAACTCGTAAAAGATATATGCAACGATCTCGATGTCAGAAGTCTATGCCACAAAATTCTGCAGAATATAATTATTTTAACCAAAGGGGATAGATGTTCCTTGTTTTTGGTCGAAGGCGAAAAGAATTCTGGAAATCGTTACTTGGTAAGCCAACTTTTTGACGTTTCTTGTGATTCTACAGTTGAGGACATGTTCAACAAAGAAGAAATTCGTATACCATGGGGAAAAGGCATAGTGGGCTTCGTTGCTGAAAAGAAGGAAGGTGTTAACATTCCTGATTGTTATAAGGTAAGTGAATTTTAACGATTTTCTACAAACTTTAATTACGAATTTATTTTAAGTCGTAAAATTTTAAGACTTAACCACTTCACTGTCCCATTGTGGGCCTGACCAAACTCATGATGAGTATAACTATAAAGACCTTTTTAGTGTCCCCACTTAGTTCCTCGCTCTTACGGCGGAAAGGGTTTAAAAAAATACGTCATACTATTAAAAATCACACAAGAATAATTAGAAAACGTAGAAAACGTATTTATTCAGATATCTTGTAAGACCTACTCAGCTATTGATTTTTCAGGTTAATTTAATTTATTTAATTCAATTCACATTTTATAAAACTCCTACTTTAAAAATTCTATTACTTTATGAAATTATCTGGAATCACAGCTGGCCATAGTAAGAAGTATATAAATATGATGTTAAATTTAAATTCGATTAATTAGAATGCTAAATAATTTTCACCAATTCAGCAGGGAAGTTTTTAATACGCTAAATCTAGTTTAGTTTGGTTTGTTATTACGAAATGGATTTTTCTCGTTTCGTTAGCGCTTTGATGGTGTTAAAAGCAAACACTGGCACCGAATTAAATTTACAAAAGGAATTTCTTCTTTCCTTTAATAAATACAACTCCACAAATTCGTTTTGTGCAATTCACAAGAAGCGATCGATAATTCTTTGTAAAGGAAAACCTCTTTAGCAGTAGAAGCTTCTTTCTTTTTTCCTGTTATAGAAATGCCCGATTACGTCCTATTGACAATAACATAATTAATTCTTCACGCGTGCTTTCAAAATCACTCTAGGTTATTGATTTAATTCCAGATATCATCTATCTTTTCTCTATAAAAAGATTCATACTGAATAGATTCGTAACAAAATATAGAAATGTTTAAAGAAGAAATAACAGAATGTTATCAAAGCTTTGAAAACTTCTTTAACAAATTCCTTCTCTAAAAAGAAAAAAGAATGATATTTTAAGCTTATATCTCTTTCTAAATGACCGATTTATAAACCTCTCAGTAATTATGACTCCAGCAAACGATATAGAATTATCTTAAAACTTTAATCTTTAATATATATATATATTAAATATGTTATAAATTATTATGTATGATATAGAATTAAACTTCTTGGATATATGTTAAATCTTTGAAGATAAACTATCGAGTTTCTAGATATATAATGTAAGAATAATAACTGTTATTCGATCTGCTTAATTGCCCGATTGATTTATGTTACAAATAGTTTTCGTTTCACTAAAACGTAAACATTAATCATAGAGAATGAAGAGTCAACTTTCACCTTATAACATTTTCCAGGGATCAGATATTTTTCCCATTTAATCTACAGAAAAGCTAAAGTTGATATCATGTATTATTGCTAAAAATAAATACATTTCCACTACAATTTTTTTTTTAAAATAGTTAAATTACTTTGTATTTAATATTAATCATATTTAGAGAGTAATTTATGTCTTTATAATTAACATTAAATAAATAATTTCGCTGATAGCGTAAATTAATAATAATTATAATTTAATTAATATTAAGTAAACTCGAATAGAAATGTAAATAAATAATATTTATTTCGGTTATTTAATTCAAATAAACAATTTTTTAAATTAATATAATCCACATTTAATTTATGCCTATGAGCTGATTATTTTAATGTAGAGAACTCAGTGCAATTTAATTGTTATAAATTAACCAGAAAATTTATCTTCTTTTTTACTTTTACATTTAATTTTGTTTTTGTTTGTTTTTTTAAATACTAAATGATAAAGATAATTGCTGCATTTCTAGCGAAAAAGATAGTTAATGGCCTGTACAGTGTTTTTCTTATCTTTTTTTGTGTGTTCGGAGTAGAACATAATTTTTGTTAGAGTGAAAGTTTTACTTTTTCTTAGAGTGGATGTTTGACAATAATTGAACATTAAATTTTTGTTAAATTTAATATCTAAATTGCATTTATTTTGTATAAAGACTTTTAATATAATTTTAAAGTGCTTTTGAGAATTTTTTCCCTATTTATCCATTCTTATATCGTTGAAAATTTTATTTTTTATTCTGTTAATATTATGAGCTTTCATTCTATTAACTTACTGTTTACAATGGAAACAAATGTATAGAATTTTAATTTTTTTATACAATTTGTTTCAAAGTTTTTAATCTCTTAATGTTTTAGAATTCGAGTTTTGGGCAAAATTGTATGCTATTTTTTTATTTTCAATTTATTTTATAACATTTTCTGTTATGAAATATGCTATTTATCAATAAAAATGAAATGTTTCGTATGGAAGATATAACTAAGGTTTATGTTTGACTGATATTGAAATAAATTCGAATTTATGTATCTTACCAAACTGCAAGATATAAGGATATTTATTTATTAAACTACATTTTTCGATTTAATAAAATATTTTGTTTCAATTTTTCTAACTTCAGCAAAAGAAAATTTATGTAGATGTATGCTCTTTCATAATCAAATTAACTATATTTTATTATATTATCAGATTAACAGAATATTTAAGACATTGTTCCTTCGTTAGATCAGGGCTTCAATTAGTGAAACTATAAGAATAATTTTGTCTTTCTTTGTATTTTAATTAATCCATAAATTTCCCAAGGGTCAACAATAGTCATTCAGTTATTTTTCAATTTGCAGGTCTCTCTGTGCCATATACTTCAGATTGTTATCGAGAGAACTCGATGATTTGGCGACCGTCATGGCAGCCGGTATGGCAACCACGTGGCATTCCTTTACACTCTGACATGGACTCGCAAGAACTAGACGAAGAGGCTCAGAAGGTGGAAGCCTGGTTGGATGATCATCCTGCTTTCGTTCAGGATTATATGATACGTAAAGCCACCAGACAGATGATGGATACTTGGATGATAGCACACGCCATACCTCAAGGAATTTCATTGGAATCCGAATCCTTGCCTATAAGTCCTATATCCAGAACGGGTTCTGGAGGTGCCACTCCAGTTAGAAAGATATCTTCGCACGAATTCGATCGAGGCGGATTATTGAGACCCATGTTTACCACAGTGGATGGTACACCTACATTTTTAGGAAGTCATTCTTCTAGTAGCGAAAGTCTGGTCACTCCATGTATCAGACCCGCTCGAAAGAGCCGCCAAGAACTTCAATCGCTGAACGAGAAAGAGCTAATTTTTGAACTCGTAAAAGATATATGCAACGATCTCGATGTCAGAAGTCTATGCCACAAAATTCTGCAGAATATAATTATTTTAACCAAAGGGGATAGATGTTCCTTGTTTTTGGTCGAAGGCGAAAAGAATTCTGGAAATCGTTACTTGGTAAGCCAACTTTTTGACGTTTCTTGTGATTCTACAGTTGAGGACATGTTCAACAAAGAAGAAATTCGTATACCATGGGGAAAAGGCATAGTGGGCTTCGTTGCTGAAAAGAAGGAAGGTGTTAACATTCCTGATTGTTATAAGGTAAGTGAATTTTAACGATTTTCTACAAACTTTAATTACGAATTTATTTTAAGTCGTAAAATTTTAAGACTTAACCACTTCACTGTCCCATTGTGGGCCTGACCAAACTCATGATGAGTATAACTATAAAGACCTTTTTAGTGTCCCCACTTAGTTCCTCGCTCTTACGGCGGAAAGGGTTTAAAAAAATACGTCATACTATTAAAAATCACACAAGAATAATTAGAAAACGTAGAAAACGTATTTATTCAGATATCTTGTAAGACCTACTCAGCTATTGATTTTTCAGGTTAATTTAATTTATTTAATTCAATTCACATTTTATAAAACTCCTACTTTAAAAATTCTATTACTTTATGAAATTATCTGGAATCACAGCTGGCCATAGTAAGAAGTATATAAATATGATGTTAAATTTAAATTCGATTAATTAGAATGCTAAATAATTTTCACCAATTCAGCAGGGAAGTTTTTAATACGCTAAATCTAGTTTAGTTTGGTTTGTTATTACGAAATGGATTTTTCTCGTTTCGTTAGCGCTTTGATGGTGTTAAAAGCAAACACTGGCACCGAATTAAATTTACAAAAGGAATTTCTTCTTTCCTTTAATAAATACAACTCCACAAATTCGTTTTGTGCAATTCACAAGAAGCGATCGATAATTCTTTGTAAAGGAAAACCTCTTTAGCAGTAGAAGCTTCTTTCTTTTTTCCTGTTATAGAAATGCCCGATTACGTCCTATTGACAATAACATAATTAATTCTTCACGCGTGCTTTCAAAATCACTCTAGGTTATTGATTTAATTCCAGATATCATCTATCTTTTCTCTATAAAAAGATTCATACTGAATAGATTCGTAACAAAATATAGAAATGTTTAAAGAAGAAATAACAGAATGTTATCAAAGCTTTGAAAACTTCTTTAACAAATTCCTTCTCTAAAAAGAAAAAAGAATGATATTTTAAGCTTATATCTCTTTCTAAATGACCGATTTATAAACCTCTCAGTAATTATGACTCCAGCAAACGATATAGAATTATCTTAAAACTTTAATCTTTAATATATATATATATTAAATATGTTATAAATTATTATGTATGATATAGAATTAAACTTCTTGGATATATGTTAAATCTTTGAAGATAAACTATCGAGTTTCTAGATATATAATGTAAGAATAATAACTGTTATTCGATCTGCTTAATTGCCCGATTGATTTATGTTACAAATAGTTTTCGTTTCACTAAAACGTAAACATTAATCATAGAGAATGAAGAGTCAACTTTCACCTTATAACATTTTCCAGGGATCAGATATTTTTCCCATTTAATCTACAGAAAAGCTAAAGTTGATATCATGTATTATTGCTAAAAATAAATACATTTCCACTACAATTTTTTTTTTAAAATAGTTAAATTACTTTGTATTTAATATTAATCATATTTAGAGAGTAATTTATGTCTTTATAATTAACATTAAATAAATAATTTCGCTGATAGCGTAAATTAATAATAATTATAATTTAATTAATATTAAGTAAACTCGAATAGAAATGTAAATAAATAATATTTATTTCGGTTATTTAATTCAAATAAACAATTTTTTAAATTAATATAATCCACATTTAATTTATGCCTATGAGCTGATTATTTTAATGTAGAGAATGTTGAGTGTTAACAAATATAATTTCAACATAAAATATTAATATGATTAATTAATTGATTTGTTGTTGATTAATTACTTTTAATTTTAGCCCCTTATAAGTGACATAACACACAATATATTATATAATCAGTAATGTCAATAAAATGTGCATAAAATTTATCTGCTGTTTACAATAAATAATTTTCATAAATTTAAATGTTTACTAATCATATAAACATAATAATGAATTACGGCTTAATATTCATCCGTAAATTAGTTAATTATTTAATGTCTAACCAATAGATTTATACTTAATGATTATTTTCTATTCGAATTGCATGCACATAACTGCATTACAAGAGATTATTATTTAAAATTAATTATTTAAAATGAAATTTCTAGTTTCTCTTTTATTAAAATAAATTGTATCAAGTTAAAAAAGAATAAATGTGTCTTTATCAGAAGAAATGAAAGCCAATTTAGAGAGATTATAATTGTATTTATTGTTAATTACTCTGAATTATCTTTATAATTTGAGTCTTCACAATATTATAAAAGATTGTAAATGTATTTTTTTTTTCAGAAATAGTTATTAAACTAGTAAACAATTTTTTATAAATATTTTAAGAATTCTTTGTCTGTAAGCCATTTTTATATATTATGTAAATAAAGGAAAAATCTAGTTAGATATACAAATTAGCCTTGAGTAATTTTATATTATGTAAGCTGCAAAGTATTGATTTTTACTCAGTTTTGATGTTTTTACTCCTCACAGCTAAATTTATTCATTTGTGTAATAATAATGAAACAGATCTATGCACAGTACTATGTATATATTGTAGTACAGAGGTGTGTACTGTAGTGATTTAGGTCTGAATTTGTTAATTCGGTTTCCCAGATGAATGGATTTAAAATAATTTTATCTAATATCGGAATTGGATAATTTTTGCTTTCAATATAATTTAATTTGAATTTGTTCTGATGACGAAAGTTTCGTGCTTGAAACAGACCAAAAAGAATCCTCGTTACATTAATTTCAACGTTAAGTTATAGGCCTATCCATAAAAAAGTTAAACTATATTCTCCTTACAAACATTTGCCTACTTAAAATATGTTTTCTGATAAGAATTTCCATCAATTTACTAGTGTTTTTTTTTTCTTTTCGACCAATCGAAAATCAATGAAAAACTTCAAAACTCATTTGACTTCTTCTCATCTAAAGAATCGATATTGTACGCGGTTCTTTTATCACTTTTCTAACTTTGGTAAAATAAAAAATACCACATAATTTCTAAACTTGCATTATTATTGATTGATAAATATCGATAAGGTGTTAAAAATATCGTAAACTTGTCCGTGTCTAGAAATGGTTAGTCTCTATACGTAGATTAAAAAGCTGTAAAATGCCATATAGTGTATTCGTGGAGGCAAGGGAAACGTAAACCCACTCCTTAACCGAATACTTAGAATAAATATGTAAAGAAAGTCTGTGATAAGTAATAATTAATGAATTTTTTTTATTGTTATGCTAAATTTATTATTTATTTACTTTTATAAATATTTTAAAATTTATCTACAAAAGTAATTTTATGACCATGCCTGGATACACTTCTGAAAATGCCACATTTGGTATTAATTAAAGTATAATATTTTAAAATCCAACGTTCCGAAATTTAGAAAGTGATAAAAAGTGATTAAATTGTGGCATTTATAGATGTATCTGGATCATGGGAGATGCTAAAGCATTTGGAAGATAAGTTGTAGCGTGGAGCATAAAACGATTTTTATCGCTAGATCGTAAAGAAAACTTTCTTAAAATAACTTGACGTAGCAATTAACCAGAACTGATAAATGAATTTAACAAAACTGCCGTCCTCTACCCATCTCTATACATTTTACGCTGCGGGATCGATGATTAAATTATATTAAACGGATTATCTTAATGATCGATCGTTGTACTCTCTTCTAATTTTAGCGAATTAAATTGCTGAAATGTCCAAAGTCACTAAACATTAGTAATAATTCTGCTTAGAGAATGA